ATAAGTAAAGTTAAGTGTTGATTATTTTCTTATATACATTTTTGTACGTGGCAAGGATCCACTTTTAAATTTGATCTGTTTTTAATACCTAAAACAAAAAGGCACATGTCTAAAGCTCTGATTATCCTTTAAAATCACATGCATCATGGATAGTAGAGCACCCCAACAAGTGAGTAACCAATTCCATCTCTGACCCTTTCCCCACAGAGGGTATTTCTTGATGGCAATAATTTCATAGTGAGAAAACTGCCAAGATAGGCTGGCTTTTTGGCTAAGAGCTAGGATGGTATCCCATTAAGAAAATCTACTTTCATGAATATTTATGACATATTATGCTTTTACATATTAAAAGCTTGAGGGAACATAAAGCATATTTTGGTAATGGTTTTTCAGTGTCGGCTTTTATTGTTCTTTTGAAGAGGCATTAGAAAGAACCTGGAAAAAAAGAAAAAGATTTTAGATTTTTGTGGTCTGACACTCTAGCACATGCAGTCATTTATTGTTCATGTTTTTGCTCAAGTGTAATATAATTTAATCCATCAACCTGGGAATGAATATCCTTATTCTTAAATTCCTGGGAAATCCTTCAGATTCAGAACATATGAAGCTTGAGTTACTGAATTGTTTGAATGCTCAGTTATTATAACAGGTAGCAATTGAGAGCAAGAAGTGATGAATTCATTACTGTTAAACATTGGTGGGATATCTAATAAGCAATTAGTCATAACCTCCCCAATTGAAATCATTTAATCAAATTCATCCTAATCTAACATAAGAACAAATGTAATAATCAATTTTTATGACACAAAGGGGTTCCTTGGAATTATTTATCCAGTTATTTATTCATCAGAAATTTTCTGCTCAAACTATTAAAAATGAGTAATCAGTGTCTTAAGACTTTTTTAACATGGAGCAAGGCAATTTTACCAAGTTGCATGACTTGCAGGACTAAATTAATGTCTGACTTTTATTTGGGGGCTGGGAGGAGGGAATAAAGTGAAATGATGTATTTAAGCTTCTTTGTAGAAAATGTTAGGATTTCATTTTAGCTAAATGTAAATGAACATGGGATGCTTTTTTGTTTAATACATTAGCTTTCCTTGTTTGGAAACATTATTGTTAATCCTGTACTGTGCTGTCTGTAATTTGCCCTTATTTTGTAGATGAAAACGTAAAACATTGCAGCCAGGTACAGAGGAGGGCTGGGATACCTCTTTAAAATGTTAGTTATAAAGCTATTAGTTTATTTAGTGATATGGCAATTATGGGTTATGTTTTCTACATTCTTTTTGAAAAAAAGAACTGGTCCCACTTTATTTTTCTTAAGAAGAGTTGTTGAACACATGAAAATGTCAAGATAGACATTCTAGATTTATCTGAAATTAACAGTAGACTGACAGATATAGAAATTGAAAACACCACCTGTAGTAGAGAATGGTGCTTTTTTTTTTTTTAAGCAAAACGAGTATGGTGTGGGGCCTTTTATTGTCTAACGTGATTTATGTCAATTAGGACAGTTCTCTGTAAATATCAGCTTTTATGTATTTGTCTATTCATACTACTGTGTTAATGTAGGGCCAGGTTCTGATACTCTTACTCACATTGAGTAGTCCCATTTAAATCCAGTGTGATTGCTCAAGGAGCTAGATACTGTTCTTCATGAGTATGAGTACTGCAGTTTAGCCCCTAAAAATTAATGTGAATCACATAAGCAGTATAACAGTTTGGTTTAGCTTCTTAAAATTATGTTAAAATGAATTGGTGGACAAATGTTAAAAATATACATAGTATCTTTAAATTCTTGATTTTTTTTTCTTCTTGTTTTGTATTGAAAACCCTACCTCACAAACTGCAGATACTATGTAAATACAAACATTGCCTTTACCTTACATAATGGTGAAAGTAAGCAATCATTGATACAGTTTACCAAGGATTGTGGTAGATTCTCCATCACTGACCATTTTAAAATCAAGAATTTTTTTTTTTTAAGAGAGATGTTCTGGAAATTATTTTGGGGAAGTTCTATGGCCTGTGTTGTACAAGAGGTTAGACTAGATGTTCACAATAATCCCTTCTGGCCTTAGAATCTGTGAAAAGGACAATGCGTGCATGCAGCAACCACAGAATGGTATTTTGACAAAAACACTGGTGATGTTGACTTTCCTCTTTCCCTCCCCTTATAGGGTGGCCAGGTGTCCGGGTTTCGACCGGAAAGTCCGGTTGAAAAGCGGACCGCCGCAGTGTCCAGTCAGATCTACTGACTGGATACCCAAAGTCCAGTTACTGCAGGTGGGGAGGCACTGGGTCATTACCCGCGCCAGCCCCTACTCAGCCAGAGCCGCCTCCTACCTGTGTTGGGCAGCTGCAGCTCCCAGCCCCGGCTCTGCAGGCGAGTCCCTCCGTGAGGGGAAGAGAGCAAATGGAGGCGAGGCCTTGGGGGAAGAGATGGAGCAGGGGCGGGACCTCGCGGGGAAGAGGTGGTGATGGGGGAGTTCCAGCACTCCTGCTGGAGTGTCACATTTTTAAATATTACAGAGTTGGCAACCCTACCCCATTGTGGTCCAAAGTGAGTGGGCATCCTAATCAAGCTAGAAGACGGCTGGCTAAACAGGAAGTTTGGAGAATCTTAAAGTGTATTTTTCTGTACAGAAGTGTCTTAGGTAGCAAGTACAAAGGATAAACTTTTAGCTGAGGAAGATATAATTATATTTTTGGATATGCATTTGTTCAGAAATTAGTAAATGTTTTTAATGATGAGTATAATTCAGAGGGAAATATTATATTTACCATATTTTGAAATAGGTGGGTTAAATCTATGATGGATTTCTTGTCTTCCTTTTATTGAACTGTTTGAGAGTCTCTTCAGTTTCTGTTGTGCATAAAAAATGCTTGTACCAGAATCTAAAACCAGCCTAGAATGTTATTTCATACGCTGCATGTTTCAGTCAGAGAGAGAAAGAAGTACACTTCAGGTTTATGTAAGCAAATGCCTCTTTGGAAGGGTGGGAATTTGTGGTGATCAAGAGGAGAGATCCCCTGAAAAAGATCACTTATTACTCTAAAATGCAAATTTCTGCTATCTAGAAAAGTTTGATGCTGAAAACCACCTGTTCTGGATCTGGTACATTTATTAATGTTCCTGGAACATTACACAAAAAGCAATACACATAACAGATACAATTGGAAGGTGTGTTTCGGCAGTGAGTGGTTTCATTCACTTGGCCCATGAGCCAGATCCAGCCTGCTTGATGGGCCTCTATGACAAACTCAAATGATGTAGAATTCAAGTTTTCATTTCAGATTTCTAGGCCTCATCTGAATGTGTCATGTAACTTTGTCTTAGCCTGAAACAACTATTTTCCAAATTTTGACTTTTACTTTCATCTTGTTGAGGTGTTACTTCTGAAACCTAACAGTGACACTTTAAAAACAAGAAAATTTAAAATAATTTGGGTGTACAACTTTGCCTAACTTGCAGTTACTGTAATTGTGCGTTGAAATTGGGTAATGGCACATGCCACTAGTCGTATATACAAAGGGCAGAAGTGATACTGATTTTAGTGCTTTGTATCCTTTTTTCCTGCCAAGTGCAACAGTAGCTTTATTAAGAGCCAAATTCTGCTTTCTGCTCTCAGTTCCACTGGTGCATCTTCAACTACAATAAATGAAAGTTGCATCCATATAACTGACTGAACAAATTGGCCCTTAAATAATAGTTATTACTGAGGACCATATTCTACCCATAGTCTTTATGCAAATCTCCCACTGGGCCTGATCCAACGAGGTGCTAAATCTTTGTAACTCAATGATAGTATTCAGAGTAACAGCCGTGTTAGTCTGTATTCGCAAAAAGAAAAGGAGTACTTGTGGCACCTTAGAGACTAACAAATTTATTTGAGCATAAGCTTTTGTGAGCTCACTTCATCAGATGCATACTGTGGAAAGTGTAGAAGATCTTTTTATACACACAAAGCATGAAAAAATACCTCCCCCCACCCCACTCTCCTGCTGGTAATAGCTTATCTAAAGTGATCACTCTCCTTACAATGTGTATGATAATCAAGTTGGGCCATTTCCAGCACAAATCCAGGTTTTCTCCCCCCCCCCGGAGTGGCTAAGTCATTATGCAAGGTAACCTATTTCCCCTTGTTTTTTCCTACCCCCCCCCCCCCGACGTTCTTGTTAAACCCTGGATTTGTACTGGAAATGGCCCACCTTGATTATCATACACATTGTAAGGAGAGTGATCACTTTAGATAAGCTATTACCAGCAGGAGAGTGGGGTGGGGGGAGGTATTTTTTCATGCTTTGTGTGTATAAAAAGATCTTCTACACTTTCCACAGTATGCATCCGATGAAGTGAGCTGTAGCTCACGAAAGCTTATGCTCAAATAAATTGGTTAGTCTCTAAGGTGCCACAAGTACTCCTTTTCTTTTTTCAATGATAGTAGTAGGTGCTCAGCAGCACTCAGTATTGTGGCCATTTTTATTAACGGGAGATTGGCTGGCTGTTGATTTAATTTAGTAGTTCTGTTCTACAGACTATAATAAAAAATGTATTTTGGCCAGTGCTACAGAATAAATTTGATACTCTTTTAGTAAGGGCTCTGTAAATGTTTTGATTTCCACATCATTTTAAAAAAAAACGTTTTAGGACTCTGTTACTATAATATAGTACAAAGTTAGTCCTGAAACTTTAGTTCAATAAGAGCAACTCTGCTCACCTAACTTGTCGAGGAGTCCCACAGTAATCAGGCTACTCACATGAATAACACACAGAATTTGGCCCCCTCTGAAAATCTTGCAAGCATTTTTCTTAAGCAGAAAGGAAGAGTATTTAGATCTGGACTCATGTTTATAGACACTTATCACAATGAATGCACACTCTTGAAGCTGGATTATTTTGCACAAGTCATGCAAAAGCTGTGTACATAGTATTATTTGCCATACCAGCAGTCTGAGAGTGTGCCTTATTGGTAATTGTTTTTTTGCTTCCACAGATTTCAGGAAACCTCACTGTGCCTTGGATTACAGGGTGTTCCAGAAAAAGAGCAGTAAGTACATTTCACTTGAAGCAGCAAATGAGCTAAGTAAAGGCATGGAAACACATTTAAAAAAAATTTGAATGACCTCTAGAAAAATGTCACTTTGAGTATTTGGTAAAACAGAAATGTGTGTTTTTTGTTTTATTTTATTTTTTGTTCATAGTAGCCACAAACAGTAGCCTGTAAATATACCCCATAAATAGCTGTACAGTATCTAGTGTGTTAAAAGCCCAAAATTGAAATCCTAGGTCCCATCATGCCACCTTTACACATGTAAGTAGTCCAAGTATCTGAAGTGCACAAATAGGGATTATTTCCATGAGTAAAGACTGCAAGACTTGATGTGATTTGTGTTAAAAATGAAACAAAGGCTGGTCATGACCCAAAAATTCAGAGAGGGAAAACTTAACTCATAAGGAGACAAATCCTAGTTTGTCAGCCTGCTAGATCCTATCTGTATGTCTATATATAAAATATGAGAAGCAGGATTTAGTCTAAAATGTATGTCATAGTTATCTCAGGTGTAATTTTTATCCACATTTTAGTTTTTATACCCTTTCCTATTAAGCGAAATCAACCAGATTGGTGTTCTGAAGTCATAAGGCATTCCTAAATATAGTATAAAACTATACTTCTGTTCATATTTACAAACTTTTATTGAAAATGTCATAACTTTCTTGTCTTCCAGCTCAAAGTCTATTTTTCTAAAATAATCAGGGTCAGTGTTGCGGTATAACAGTGGGAGGGAAAATATTTGCTCTCAGTTATTTACATGTAGTAAGGTTCTGAGTGATAGAATGTATCAATTCAGCCATCAGTAAATCCTAACTAGATATAAAAGCACCTCTATTTAATACATCTAATATTACTTTTTAAAGATAAAAAGTTAGAGGCAGCTGTTCGTGCTTGCATGTTTCCCAAAGCATAAAAAGAACTTTAAGATAAAGATGAGAAATAGATATGCTTTACACAAAGGAATTTTTAGTAAAACATTGTAGTTTTTAAAAAAAATTTTAAAAAACCCTAAACCTAAATGTTGTGAGCTGGATAATTCAGAGACATTCCACATTTTTAATAACTTTGCCCTTATATTCTATTATGCTGTGCACTCTACACATAAAATTAGTCTGAGCTTGTGATAAGCTTGAAAACGGTTGAATTTCACATTTGAAAAATGATTAAAATAGGGGGAAAAATGTTTTTCATATTGTAAGCACATGCCAGTTTCTTTGATGTCTGTTAGCAGTTCCAGTGATGGGCCATGGAGAACTTTCTGGCAGACTACAGATGTTCAGTGAGTCACATGTGGCCTGCTCCGAAATCCATTGAAGTCAATGGGAGTCTTTCCATTGACTTAAATGGGATTTGATCAGGCCTATGATATTGCCTGTCATCCTCATTCTCAGCTGCTAAATTACATTAAAAGACAGCTAAAATTAATTAAATACTTGTCTAATTGCTTTTTCATGTAATCAATTGCTGTAGTTGCCAGATGGGCTTTATGCTATCCTGCTTGGGAGGGCAGGTGGGCACAAGACAATCCCTAGTAAGTTGCATTCCACACTATGGGGGAAAAGTGGGAGCTTCCCCTGCTGTGTAGAGTAAATAGTTCTAGCCTTTGGGACAATGAGATATTTAGGGGGCAGTATTTGCAGGGAGGGTTAGAATGGATATATGGATTCTGTATGGTTAAAGGGGTGTTTGAATCCATGTCAGGCATAAGATCAAGAGAAGTATAGTACTGTTTTTAGACTTCAAAATGTTCAAGGGATAGGATGTATTGTGGTTCACAGTGAAATAGTGGTTAGAAGGGTGGGTGTTTATAGAATGTATGTAGAGGGTAAGATAGATATGTTGTGATCTCATTAGTGAGAAGGTAGGATATCAGAATGATCGTTCTTAGCCAATATATGAAGGATAGGAGATGAGATAATGATACAAAGGGAGAGCAATCTGCAGGAGGGTGTGTTCTGGTGTAGGTGGATAATGGTTGCACATGTTGTGGAGTAACACAATATGAAGAGTATGGGATAGTATCCAGGGTACTTTATATAGGAACATAGCTTATACTAGAAATGGTGAAAGGATACAATGTGAGGGTATAAAGGGGCTTTGGGCATGTAATAGGATGGTCAGGGATGTGAGAGTGCACGGTTAAAAAGTTGTCTGACAAACCAGAAAGGACAGTTAACTTCATTTTCTCCCCATCCCTCACTTACAAAAGACATGTAAGTATTTCCCTGTTTGCTGTTAATGACCCATCCAATTTGACTGCATCCATTGTTCCCACATAGAGTAAGTATTTAATTAACTCAAAATTGAGCTGGTTCATTTCTGTAGTGGCTGCCAGTGCCTACAGGAGGAAATTTCCACAGTCCATTTATCTCCGACATGGCTTAATAAACACACGTGTTTCATATCTTTACTGCTCTTGTCACAAGAATGTTTTTGCTTCAAGATTTGTCTTCACTGCAATGTTAGCTTGAGTTCTCTACACTTCGGTAACTACTCTCGAGTTTCCTTAGTTCAAATGAGCATGGTAACACTGCAAAACAACATCTGAGCAGCACAAAGTGGTAGTATGAGCAGCACAGAGTAGCTGCATCATTAGTAGGACTCAAGCTTTTTTGTAAGCTCTCCGGGAAAGGAGCCATGTACTACTCTGTATTTTGTACAGTGCTTTCAACAATGGGGCCCTGTTCGTGGTTGGTTGGCACTACCATAATAGACATGATTAACAATTCATATACCCTCTGATGGGTCGGTCAGTCAGCACTTGAGCTGGAAATTTTTGTGCATGAGTGGGAATCTGGTATGGGGCAGCACTCAAGTTATATTTCTAGCTAACACTGCAGTGTAGAGAAGTCCTCAGTCTCCTGAGCTGACCCTGACTGCATGTGTGCACGTGTATGCACATATTTATAAAAAATAATTTTCTGAATGAAACTAAAACTGAAGTAGCTCTTCTCCTGATTTCCTGCTCTTGGAATGTGCAGGAATATTCTCTGGCATTATTTTCCTGGGGAATAATCGTGTTCCATAAATATAATGTCAGGATGGATTAGTTTTGTGTAATGGCCTCAGAAACCATTGTTTTCCTCATGTACCACTGTGACGATTGGAGTTACAGTCCCTAGAGTTAAGCATCACAAGGTTGATGGTGAGGTGCTCAGCTCTAGCATTCGTTTCCCATCTAATCAAAAAGCTCATGTTTTATATATATTTAAAAAAAAAAAAGTGAGGTTTGGGGCCCATGGCAAGATCTCTGTCTTCTGATAGGCTACTTCACCAAGGGTAGAACACTGAGGGGTTCTTTTAAATGTAGGTTTAACTTGTCTGTATGTCCCTGCTTTGGCTTTCATTACTGCTATCTACAGAGAAGCTAATTTGTTTTACAGCAGGTTGCATAATTTACAGCAGTCAGTTTCAGAAACAATGTAATAGTGAGATACTTTAAAGTCACTATTAGCAGTCCTCCCTCTGTAAGTCAGAATGCAGTAGATTTTCAACGGTAGAATAACTCTAGTGACAGACTGATGTCACAAAGAGCAACTGGGAAACCCAGTGGAGTGAAAAATAGCTCAGCACAGTTCTTTAGAAATGCAGCATAAGACTTTGTTTTCATTTTTTTTTTTAAAGCCCTGCTAATGGAAAGAGCAATGAAGCTCCCTCCAAGTGAGCTCCCTCAAAATGAAACTTTTTACCTACAGTTTCTAAAATTAGTTTAAAAGTAATGTAAAGTTCTTATTCTCCTAAATCTTAGATAATCCTTTAAATAAGCTTTGAAATATTCTTCTGTTTTTATTTATTTTGCTTTATTTCATTTTAATTTACATGAACTGAAATCTTAGATTGTAGATTAGCTTGGCATGTACAGGAACTAAAATGTGCTGATGTAGATCCATAAATGTTTTAGCTTATGTAGTAACTGTAAATCTGCTCTGGACATACAATAATGTGTGTGCCAAGACTGCTGTTTAGTAACCTTGGTTAACTATCTTGCTATTAATCTGTGTTGTTAAATAGCCTGAATCAGTGCAGTTGAAGATGCTTTGTAAACCATTTTTGACTGTTGCAAATTTACTAGTCTAATGAATGACCTCAGTTTCCCATCTTTCACATAATCTCACACAAGGCAAATTGTCTTCTAATGAGATTCAAGAAAAGGACAAAATAATTTGTATTTGTCTGAACATGTGGTAGGAAAACAAAATATCTAATTTTGTGTTGTGATTCAGAATAATCTAGGGTGGGGTTCTAAATAGAGTTGTGTAGAGAGAAATTGGAGAAAAACAGAAGGCTGTACAGTGTTAGTAGTTTTTTAGCATGTACAGTTGAACTTAATTTGAAGTGGTATTTCTGGCAGCCTTTAAATTTAGGGGTTGTTTCCACATGGAGTTGTTCCCAATTAGCTGTTCCTGATTATTCAGGAACAAGTCTATGTGTGGATAAGCCCTCAGATTATCTCTAAAGCAAAAAATAACTTTGCAATCGAGAAAAATAGTAGGCTATATGAAATATCTGAAACTTTCGGGAGGTAATATATTAAACATTCAACACCCGATCCCTTCAGTTAAGGGTAAAGAAAGTTCACAATCCGCATCTGTCCGAGGAGACCTCCATGGACAGAGAAGAATTAAGACTCCTCATGTGTTTCAGACAGAACATTTCTATTTAAAAGAAAGCAAAAAACCCCTACTACGTTGTTTGTTTGTGAAAGGTGCCCTGAGTAGTAGATGGATTCCTCTTCATGTCATTATAAGAAATAATCACAAAAAGAATACACATACATACTCTTGGTAGATCACCTTTTAAAAACCGATAAAACTAATAAACTAATAAAAAATGAGGAAGGAAAGCAAAAATAGAAAATATTGTTGTGGAGTTTCCTTGTAGACTTATGTCATTTGACTTTCTGCTATCTATAATAGTATCCACAGGCCCTTCTGAGGAACTGATCTAGAGTCAAAACCACAGTCCTTTTCCACACCTATGGGCTGTAGATTGGA